ATGCCAGTTTCATACGACCAGGTGGAGTGGCACAAGATCTGCCTCTGGGCTTATGTCGAGATATTGATTTCTTCACACAACAATTTGCTTCTCGTATCGACGAATTAGAAGAGATGTTAACCGGCAACCGTATCTGGAAACAACGATTAATGGATATTGGTACTGTCACTGCACAGCAAGCAAAGGATTGGGGATTCAGTGGTGTAATGTTAAGAGGTCCAGGTGTATGTTGGAATTTGCGAAGAGCACCTTACGATGATTATTACCAATCGGATCCTAACGTACCAGTAGGTGCCAGAGGAGATTGCTATGATCGTTACTGTATTTGTATCGAAGAGATGCGACAAAGTGTTCGGATCATTGTGCAATGTCTTAATCAAATGCCTAGTGACATAATCAAAGCCGATGATCGTAAGCTATGTCCTCCATCACGAAGTCGAATGAAAGTATCCATGGAATCGTGCGCCGTGTGAAACGTAGATCATCGCCGTTCTTAACCGATACTCAGGTTAAGCTCCATCTCGGAACCTTGTGGGGGTTAGGAGTAAAGCATTCCGAGGTTGGCGCATTTCATTGAGCGTGGAGAAGCGTTGGGAACCCCCATTTCTTTCTTCAGAGCCCTTTCTTTTCCCGTCCCCGCCCGGCATAGCGCTTTTCGCTTAGGCTCTTCGGAGGAATCCACTTCCTTCTTCATTCATCTGGGGAAAGGGAGGCGTCTACCAGTTAGGAAGCTAGACATCAAGTAAGTGGCTTGATGAGGATAACTAAGCCGACACGCCGGAGTTGGCTGCTGGCACAGCAGGATGGTGTCTTCTTGCACCGCAGCGGACGGGCGGTAGCGTTCGTCGCAGTGCTTCAGATTCCATCTCTGCGTCCAAGATCGAACGAGCTTGCCGGCGGACCACTGCCGTCCCATTCTTGAGTGAGCTGGAGCGCAGCCCTCTTATCCACCGAACTAGCTAGAAGTTATCGCTTTGGGTCGAAGCACTAAAAGAAAAGGACCAGAAACACGGCGGCATAGGAATCACGGGACCCCTAATAGTAAAGGGAAAACGGAAGTGCGCACCAGCTGAAAATGAAAAGCCTTTTCCCTTTTTAATAATAAAGTAAGCTTCATAGCTCCAACCTAGTAAAGGGGGCTTGATGCCCTTTGTATAGGTTGGGTTGCTGGATATGGGATCCTCGTAGTAGGCCGGACCAACATCCAGCCGAGAGAGGGCAGTCTTTAGAAAGAACAGGTTGGGAAACCAAGAGAACGCTTCGCGTTTTCTTATCTGCTTCCCGCCCTAGGAGTAGGAATAACGCAACAAAAAAATAGGGATTAGTCTTATTGACCCAATGATAAACCACTAACACCTTCCTCGGTCGGGTCCCGCGCACTGGGAAAACGCTCTAGCGACGGAAACCGTCCATTAGTTACAAAGCTCCAATAAGGGAGAGGGCTATCACGGTCAGTGCGAATAAATTACCCCTATTACTATTTAGTAAGCTTGGGCAAAAAATGGCTTGATGCGCGCAGATAAGGAGGAAGCGGAAGCAAGAAAAGGAATATTATCTTTTATGGCCTTATACTTAAGAGGCAAAGAGAAGCGTTTTCGCTACTAAGAAAGCGAATGGTCAGCGCGAAGGTTCAACACTTAGCCGAGCGTTAGCGAAGCTAGATTCTCATAACGAGGCGCTTCGAGTTATCGAAGCGCTGTAGTAGCGCCGAAGCTCTATGTGCTGCTATAATGCTAAGCCAAGGGCACTCGCCTTATCTATAGAAGCGATCAACGAGTTCGAACGAATTAGCTCCTTGGTAATGGCTTAATCTATAGATAGAAAGCCCTATGATGGGAAACTACCACGTTAGGTTTGGAGAGAGATGGGACCGGTTATATTATAGGGGAAGCAGATGCAAGGCAAGCTTTTTCTTTCAATAGCCGGTCAAATGACTACAGGATCATCGGTCTACTCTATCTCAATTCACCATTTCGAACTTTATACAGAAGGTTTTTCCGTACCAGCTTCTTCTACCTATACCGCAGTTGAAACACCTGATGAGAATCATGTAGCCTTCCATGGAGGTTCTCCTAGTGAGGGGAATGAGCTAGTCCTTCATTCTAGTTTTGGAATGCCAAGTTTACTTTGCAGGCCAATCAAGGAAGAAAGGATGCATCTTGACTACCTATGTGATAGGGAGTTGGTTCAAAAGAGCTATGATCAAGGTGATGAGAATGTCATTAACTTTGGGGTTCAAACCAAAGGAGATGAAGACCTCATGGAAATAAGTGCTGAAGAGTATCAAGAGAGTTTGACTCTGCGTACTCCATGAAGATCATTGATCAAAGCTAGTGAGAAGAGTCATTTAGGTTCTTGAGTGGACGGCCTATTTGATCAAAGTGTTCAAGATTGAGTCCATTGCCACACAATTGGATAGGTTGCAAACTATCTTAATTGTTTCAAGTATTTTCCAATCTTTTGGAGTCAATAAAGAGAATTCTACAAGTTTTGGAGTAAATTGGAGGTTTCTACAACTTAAGGGGCGCAATACCAATATTCCAGTTTTGGAAGGGCGTTCAAGACATTTTACTTCAACAATTTGGAGCTGAATTTCGAGATTAGAGTTAGTCTAAGTCTAGGAGTCAATTTTTGAATTTTTATCTAGTTAAATAAGTCATGTGGACTGAATTAAACTAGAGTGTTTTGATTAGGAGTCTTAGATTCCTTCTAGATATTATTCTACTTGAGGATAAGTCATTTAGATAAGGTTTCTTAGATTTTAGATAGAGTCAAAGAGATCAAGTACTCTTCTACTTTTACTCCTTGTGAGATAAGATTAGAGAGTCCTAATTGGTCTTCTTTTTAGTGGTGCTGGCCGAAAATTCTAAGCCTATATATAGGAGGCTTGGCCGAATTTCTTAAGCACCCTTGAGTGGTCATTTTTGTTGTCTCTTTTGAGAGTTTTTCCTGTGAGGAATTTTTGTTAAATGGAGTGTCCATTTTTCGTGTCAAGTATGATTAGACCAAGAGGGTTTTCATCTTGTCTTGGATCTTTTTGATCTTGCAGAAACCGTTCTTTTTCAAGTATGCTTCTTGATAGAATTGTTTTAAAACTAAACTTCTTATTTTCATACTACTTCTAGTAGTTCGATTGATGAGCCTTTCCTTTGGCTTGGTGTTCGAATTTCATGATGAGTGTGTTCATGGGATCCATTGTGGGGTTTGTCCTACTTTTGTTGGATGAGTTGTGCTTTGGCATAAGCATTTTGAGATAGTGTATGTGTTGCATATCTTTGGTTGGTTATGAAGATTACTAATCAATAGTATTCCTTCATAGTTGGGCATTGTTTGCTCCTACCTTTCTTGAGTCTCTTGATAGATGACTGATCGAGTATATTGAATAGTGTCCTTGCTATTCTTAGCGTGGGTTGTTGTTTAATTCGAATCTTTCATGGATAATGTGTTCTTTGCTTGGTTTGAGTTAAGAGATAGAATCACTTAGATAAACGATCGTCTTACTGTGAATTTTCCGCACTCTTTTGAGTTTCACGGGATAGACAAAATTATCTTCGTACTTTCTTGTTGATGGTTGCATTAACGAAATTTGCTTCGTCTACGAGATTGCTATCAGCACCTAAAGGAGAATTTGCTGTCTTTCTGGTCAGTAATGGAAGCAATCGTCCCTACCGTTGTAAAATAAGAGCACCTGGCTTTGCCCATTTACAAGGACTCGATTCTATGTCCAAACATCACATGCCAGTAGATGTGGTCACCATCATAGGTACTCAAGATATTGTGTTCGAGGAGGTGGATAGATAGGACTACATCTTACTCGGGCAGGGCCCTAGCTTTATTGCAAGCCAAAAACCCCATCATTTATAGATCCTTTGATATTCTATTCTTTCTGGTTCTGGACCAATAGTAAAAGAGTCCGGTCCAGCTCTTAGCACAAAGTAGCACCTGCCCTGAGTTTGGGTCAGAAATTGGGAGAGTTTGCTTTTACACAGAAACGAAGAACTTCAAGAACAAATATTGGACCGGGAAGAAAAGGGAGAAAAAGTCAAGTATAAACAAAACAACTATGGCATGAAAAGGAAATCTAATTTCAGTAAGACTTGATCTGAATCATAGTTCAGATTCAAGTAAAAAAAAATTGTGCTTTATGGTAATGGTAATTGCTCTTATTCGTTTTCTTTTTTTTGTTCGTTTTGCCATTCAAATGGCAGTGGCACTCCTTTTAATAACAACAGGGGATTTTGGTGCTCTACTACCAATACCAGTGGACACAATCTGTTGGGTGGATGATCAGCCCAATTTAGATTTAGAGCTTCGCTTGGGGCAGCCGGAACAAGAAATCGATCTAAACCTGCCTCCAGCGGAGCCTGAACCTAGGCCAGAGCAGGAGCCGGGGCTATCCACAGAAAAATTGAAAGAAGAACTAAAAAAAATTGTAAAGCGTGTTCGCGCTTGTGCGGGCATTTTAGGTTCTTGGGAGCAAAAAAAAAAAATTCTATTGAAAGGATCTATGAAAGTCATAAAAAAAGACAATTACACTTGAACGAAATGCAAGAAATTTTACGACGTAGGCACAGGGAATGAAAAAAAAAAAAAACCCTATGCTTCGAATCTGTAAAGTTAAGGTTTTGTTCAAGTGTAATTGTCTTTTTTTATGACTTTCTTATGAGGTCGTGTACAACAACCTTAACCGCACAAGCCGGGGCTGGGTCTACCTCCATTCCTAGAGGAGCCGTATGAGGCGGAAGCTCCACGTACGGTTTTGAAGCCGAGTCTTTCCAGCAATGGGACTTAGGGACCGATATGATGATTGGTTTAGGTAGGGCGGCCGGCCTACTACGGCGCGCTGTAGGGATTAGTGTGTGAGACCGTGATCCACAAACTGACGCATGGGACTCACCCTTACTTGGGAATAGAGAAGGGAAAGATAGCATGTCACAAGAACGAGGCGAGGTTTGAAACCCTGCTTCGAGAGGGACGCCTTGCGAGCCGGGCTTTTAGAGATGAGGCCTTTTGGCAAAGCCAAGTCAATTTCGGGCTACCAAACCCTGCAACTGATGAGAAGGCCCTGTGGAGTAAAGGGAAGCGTGTACGTTGTAACACTCCCTGCCTTCCAAAGGTGCCCAGAGGACGGGCCAAGACGCAGTAGAGCGACAGCTCGGGAGCGGATTCCCCACCGGCAGGAGGACAGGAGACGGCCATCTCAAGGCACATCACGACCTACAGGCAACACCGGCGAGACCTGGGAAGGCAACCCGACTGGGAGTCAGAGGATCCATAGTACTTGCAGCCTCCCGGACTTCATATGAATCAGTTTTTAAAGCGGGGGGAAGGGATCTCTTTTCTGCAACGGAAAAAAACAAACGGAGCAGCTTTTACTCGTCATAACCTAACGATACATCCAATACAACCGATCTGTGCCTAGAATGCGTTGTTAGATCTCTGCTCTAGAAAGCTATGCTATACAGGCAACAACGAATGCGGGTTGACCCCGGGCTTCCCTTTCATTACTTTTTTTTTTACAACGAGAGAACCGACTTCCGCTAGTGAAATGAGGACTCAAACAAAAAACCATATCTTACTAAATAATCTGACTGAACCATAGAAAGATTCTTTTTTTCATTCCTTGATGCCAGAGTTAAAGCAACCTAAAATGCCTCCTTTCGAGGCCTCTGATCTTCTCTTCTGCTGCACGCGCTTTATCTCCTCTCCAACTTGAACAAGTCTTTATGGAATGGCGAGAATTTGAGTACTATAACTATAACCACGCTGCCTGTATGAACAAACAAACTTTGTACAACCAGCTTAAGTCAGTTTTCCACCTATTTGTGAGTATTCGGCCATTTGGAGATTTTCTATCTGATCTGCCTAAGAGTTCTTTCTGTATCGTCTGCTTTTATTAAAAAATTGGATGTAATATTAAATTAAGATTAAGGCAAGGAACTTTTGCTTAAAAGCCTAATACCGCCCGCCGCTATCGTCTTTAGTCTCTAAACCCTCGTAAGGCCACTCTCTCCTCGAAGATTGCCAGTGTGAGACGATCCCTTTTCGACAAGGAAAGAAGGCGGAAGGATGAACGAAGTGAGAACTAAAGTAAGTTGGGATCACAACCTCAACTGAATAAAGATTGGTAGAAGATTGACTCCTGCTCATGACTTTCTATTTCTGAAAGAAGACTGAGGTTACCACCTCAAGAGCTACATTATAAGATGAAATTCTCTCCCTCAAAGCCGAGTAGTTGCATGTTCCATTGGCCTTTAAACCATTAGATTAGTGGGACTAGGGCTGGCTTAAGACTTCTTCTAAAATAGGCATCGAGTATGGAATTTTAGCTCTTTAGGGGAATCAACCACAAAACAAAGGACTGAAGCCAGCTCGAGCTGCATTTAGGCAAACCGGGTGGGAAGCACGAAAGCATATATGTGGAATTTACTTCTTATTAGTGTCATTCATTCTCGGAAAGAGGCAAGATAGCCTTCGAAAAGAAAGTGTTGAAGCCTTATTTTATTATAAGGAAGATTTTGAAGTGAAGCTATAAGAATAGCAACATAGTCTAATCAAGAGTTCAAGTAACACACTCCCCAAATCCATTTAGTTCCGAGGTAAGGAATAACCTGTTACGCCAAAAGATGCGGTCAATACAGCTGCCTGTAACCTAAGTGAATTCTCGCTTTACGCGGGGTTTTTTTAAATCAACTGGTGAGATAGACACGAAATACATGAAGAATCATCATTAGGACCATCGATAAACAGCGGATTGACGGAGCTAAATTAGCTTCAGTCATTATGTATTGAACAAAGGCAAAGGCCTCAGCAACGGGCGGACAATAGTAAAAAGTCATAGCAAATCGCTATCTATGGAAGGAACTCTTTGGCCCCCCACAAGGTACATCTTGCGCCTATGGGCCGCTATAACTATCCAAGAAGACACCCGGTAAATAAGAAGGGTATATCCGGCTTTCTAAGACCCCACTTCACGCCATTCATCAGTCGAAACCTGCTTCCCTCTCGACCGCTCCCCCTTCGAGTCCACATTCACCTTATTAGTCATTTTCTTACCAAGGTGGAAGCCGGTATTATCCGTCTTTAAAGGTTGAGGGTTAACCTTATTGCCATTATCATCCTCTCGGTAACCTGCCCAGACATAAAACCTTGACCCTAATCCTACCACTGAATCATTTCTTTACCGGCTTACTCCCATTACCCTTACCACGTCCAACCTGGGGCCTCTCATTGATTTTCGCTTCCATCCAAGGCCCTTCTGCACCTCAACATTCTCCATCCCCTTAGCTACCGATTCCCCCTGCTCCGTTTCCAAGTTGATAACACCCGCATCAACACTAGCTCCACCCTCTGGGGGAGCACTGTTTTGGCCGTTCAGGGCAACCTGCCACGACATGCCCATAACGCCCGCAGTGGAAACAAATCTCCGGAAGTCTCTCATATTCTACAAGTTGCTCCTTCTATGAACTTCGCACAAAGAGGTTTGAAAAGGTCAAGCACAACCGCTAGACGGGCATATTTTCCACGAGTAAGAGCAGCTGTTTGATGGTCGATCTTAACCACCTTTCCCACAATCACTGGAGCAAAGAAAGCAAGGGTATGGCATGTTTCAAGGTATGGAGGCTTCGGGTCTTCAGCTTTATCGGTCCTAATCGACTCCCCTTTCAAAGTATATAATGCCTTCATGAATCCTAAGTCTCGGTAGAATTTCCTTTTGATTCCTTAGTTGCTTAGATCCATACAGCTATTCGCCCTATTCTCTGGGGACTATCTGAGGTGTCATACCCGAGATAAGTCAATCCAGTAGCAAGAGAAGGAGCGAAGACAAATGCAATGGCATAGGCATGAGCAGGGCTTTCAACGTAACATAAAAGAAAGCTGCATATATCAAACTAAGACAACTCAAAAGAGACAAGATCGAATGGACTTTGTTGACACCGACTATGCAACTAGAGAATCTGAAACAAGCTAGGCTAGGGAACTGCAAGGTATGCTCCTCCTATCTAGACTGCTGCTTTTCCTCTACCAAATGGAATCCTCATCTATATTTGGATAGGAACCTAAACCAAGAATCGAATCCTTATCTCGCCGAGTGTCTTCAAACCTAGCTTTCCACTAACACTAAGAAAACTTACCCGACAACATATATTGCGGAAAGGCACTCTAGCGGCAGCAGATGGTTCTGCTTCAGCATGAACTGATATCTTGATTCGCCTGTCCAACTCGTAAAATGAAATTGGAAGAGTCGACTGAGATCTTTTTATGTAATATCGAGTGTTAGAACTTTATTAGCTAGTCGAACAAGAGCCTGCCTTACGAGGGTTAATTTCTACGTTTGTAAATGATGAGTGTCATACTCACTTTATAAATCAGTCTAACATGATCTACTATTCACAAAACACAACGAAATCATACAGCTAGAATAGGATTCTCTTATCCATCAACGGTAACAGCGACTAAGACTGCTTATTCCACGCTCACCACATTAAACTTCCTTACTTTAAACCATGAGCAGCCGAGAGGATTCAAACTTATTCAGTTATTCCCATAGATAGCTAGGACTTTAAAATGGACCCATTTCTCATATCCATATCAGATCAGTGCTTTAGGCCTGCTAGCTAGCCTGAGCAAGAATCATTATCTTTGAGTAGTTAATATAAAGGAAAAAAAGGGCTAAATGAAAAGCCCAAACTCGGGGTGGTGCACGCTCTCGATACATATAATGAAACTTATTTAGCTCAACTAAAACTCTTTTAATTGTGTTAACACTAACTCTACCCCCTGTAGAACAATCTATAGGAGGACTACCAGGTTTAAGGCATTGTATATCTCCATCAAAACCCAAATCAACGAGTACATTAGCTAGATTAAGATCACCGATATTTGTGATAAATACATCGAATTTATTTCGTTGGTATTTAATACCAGGATATAAATCCGTTAATTCATGTATACTTTTATATAAATCTATTAAACAGATATTTAATAGTTCAGCGCCTAACCCCCCTATAGACGGGATAGTAAATAAAGGAGTTAAAACCAATTGATTCTCTGAATCATATACCCCACCAAATTCATCAGTATCGCGAATATAAGGTTGAACCAAGTAGCTCCTGACTAAACTATAGACACCATTATCTTGTCCTATAAGGCTTTCAAGTTTATCACCCTCTCACGTGGATAAGTTTTCATGGAGTTAACTAAATTAATATGATATAATTCGTCCATTTCACCCCATCCAAGGAGCTGTTGATAGAAATGGAAGCTTGTCTTGAACTTATAAACATTGGAATAATGATTATTAAAGAGATCAAAGTTTATAATTAAGTCATGGATCTGCTGAATTAGTAATGATATAATTATTTCATCATAAATAGGTATCGAGTACGTATAAATATAAGCTCCTTTCATTTCTCTAAACTCTTTGAATTCTGTGCATGGATACTCGAGGGACGATTACCTTCACCATATATGTTTATTTTATAAGGCGAGAAATGATAATATCCACTATTTAATAGTTCAACCATCAATAGGATATCTTTTTCAAACAATTGGTTATCAAATCCTGAGCTAATTAAGTTGTTTATGCGAACGGTCGCACCATACAAGTGGACAAGTTCGACGCTAATTGATTTATAGCTACAAAAATCAGAAGCTTTCATCAAATGTTCTTTTGTTTTTTTCATTATAATTCGTCTGTATTACAAGTATGGTGTACGCCAGCTATAAATAAAGCGGTTAGAACTAGTAATCCTATCATTAGATAGAGATTTCTCTTAGACTCGATATTTACCGCGGAAGGTTCATTCACAGGTAAAACTATCTTATTAAAAGCAGAATCATTCGCTAGTAGATCCGAATTTTCAGTTGCATTTTCAGCTAAAAGAGAAATTAGGCTCATACCAAGAGCCCTAGTAATATCTAACGGTATATCTTCATTCATAGGATAATGATATTTCTGATAAAGTATAAATACTATAAAGGGTATTAAGGTCCGAGCTGAATCATTTTTCAATAAACTGAGAAAAACCTCGTTATGATCATATAAGCTTGAAGCTATGCTATTTTGATATCTTTTGGTTTCTATATTATATGGGATAATCAAACTATTTTTTTTTACTAGATGTTTTTTTATTAAGTAAACATTGTGTCCGCTAAACATATTACTATTTATAGTTCTTAAGGATCCAAGACCTATATTGTGACTATAAATAGTAATAGCTTTTTCTCTTAGAGGTGTTCTCTGATTCAGAATACTCATAGTTGTTGTACTCATAGGATATGGTATAACTCGATTATGTATAAT